GAGTTAGGAGGTGCCTTAAGGGCAGGGCACCTAATGGGCTGGGGGGCCTGCCCCTCCCAGACGCCCGCCCGACCCAGCCCCTACAAGCAAGGCACACTTTTATGGATGCAAAGATGGCAGAGACATAAACACTTAGGCTTTAACTACAGCTGTGCCCCTGTCCAGGAGCTCTGGGGCCTGGGCCTCTGGAAATTCTGTCTTCACCTGCCAGCCCCGAGGACCAGCCTGGATGGGGTATCTGGGATGGTCGTGTGATCTGCCACCTCTGCCACCCCCCACACCCATATCCCAGGCTTCCAGCCCCCCACCCCTGGAGCCTGGCAGGTGAGGCAATGGGGACCGAGGGGCCGATAAGGAGAATGTCTTCAGCAGCCCTAGGCCCAGGGAGCCAAGCGGATATTGATCTGGTCTATGGGAGCAAAGGGACCCATTAAACAGGCTGCTGTTAAATCGCTCTGCCTGAAGCCAGCCATCTCTGCAGGTGGGCAGGGGACATGGCAGGCAGGCGGTGGCTAGACCGGCTTGTGGCTAGCACCCTGGTGGGGGTGGTCTTGGCTCTAAAGACCCTGGCTCTAAAGAGCCCAGGGCCTGAGGCGGCCTGGTGCCCACAGGCCCCTGAGCTTCAGCCACACCCCGCTTCCAGCCACACCCTGCTTCCTGGCCTCCTCCCAGCAAACCAGGTGCTGCTGTGCCTTTGCTCACACAGACTCCTCCCCTTTGCCTCTTCCTCCAGCTCTTGAAATCCTCCTCAGCCTTGCAGACCCAGTGCAAATAGCACTTCCTCCATGAAGCCTTCCAGGTTTTCTACTCCCTATTCCTGACATTTGAGAGAGGTGGGTTTTCCCTCCCCAGATCCCCAAAGCCCCCAGATGGGCCCTGGTTGTCCTCTGACTGTAGTCATCCCTGCTATACTAACTAGGAGTTGTGGGCCCACTCAAGGGGGACACGTGTGCTTCAGTCCCTCACACATCCTACTGCCCACAGATGTAGCATGGGAGTCCAGGCACCAGGTGATGACGGTGAGCTCCTCAGCTGGGGAGGACAGTGCTGGAAAGTGTTGGCTGAGCTGTGGCCTGATGGCCATGGCTGGGAGCTCCTGACACCTGCACCCGGCCAGTCGTCGATAGTCCCTGTGACAGGTATTAAGAACTGCTCGGTCTCCTCTCCCTCCTGTGCGATGCCCTATCCGCCACTCTGGTTCACAGTCAATACCCATTCCCAGCCAGAGGCCACCTTCATCCCTCAGATGCCCATCACGGACTTGCAGCCAGGGAGTTCTGGGCCTTGAACCTCTGCTCTGCCCCTTGCGGTTCTATAACTCTGGGTCTCAGTTTCCTCATCAGTAAAATAGAGATACTGGGCTCTACCTTTCAAAATGGTGAGCGTTATATGAGACAACTATTGCACATGCCCAGAAAGGGCCAGTGGCTGCCTGGAGTCACACAGTAAGAGAGTGGAAAATATGCCGGGATTCCTGTCTCCCAGCCCCAAACTCCCTCTACCCCATCTAGCCTCCCTTGGTCCGGGGTTCCCAGCTGGGGCCTGCATCCTGTTGGAAGCCTGCTCTGTGTAACCTGGCAGCTGGTCACCATGACCTGAGGAACAACAGACCATCAGCCTAGCTCAGGGCCGCGCCCAGAGGCCCCCCTTGCTTGTTTCTCCGGCCTGACCTGGCCTCCCCAGGGGCCCTTATCTGTCCATTCTCTCCTTTCCCACCAACCTAATCTCTCCCTCTTTTCGGGAGTTCCTGTTTCCTCTCTGCCGCCTTCTTGTCTCCCTCCTCAGGCCCTGTCTCTCCTATGTCTCCAGCCAGCCTCCCACACTTGGTTGAGAAGCCTTCTCAGAGTGGCTGGTCTTGTCATCCTCCGGGAGCCTCCCTCCCCTGCAGGCCTTCTGGGCGTCACAGAGCCCAATCTGGGCCTGTGCTCCTCTTAGGCAGGAGGGAGGAGGCCGAGTGTGGCAGTCCCGCTGGTGGCCAGCGTCCTGACTCCCACAGGTCCATACCTGGCCTTTTTAAATTCTCAGGGTTGGCAACTGGTTCAGGGGCCTCTACAGTTCTTCCAAGGCAATGGTTTGAAGATTGCTACTCCAAAAGTCCAAGGTACCAAGATTTTATGGCTCGAAATCTCTGCCCACAATGAGATCTTGAGGCCCTAGAGAGCTGAGGTTCTGGGAACACTGGAGGCCCCGCCCCTGTCCCACGGCAGTCTTTGGGCTGCTATGGCTGCTCTTCCTGGGCTGTCCAGAGTGAGGGCTCATGAGAAGGGGGCAGGGTCTGGTGGCAGACACACCTGGGCCCCCGAGCCCTGCACCACATGGACCTGCCCTGAGATCGGGGGCCAGCCACCTCCTCTGCAGAGCCCTGCCTTCCTCCCCTGCCAGGCAGAGATAACCGTGCCCACCTGGGGCTTGCTGTCAACAGGACTCGGGACAGTGTCTTTGGACTTGCACACAGTAAGAGTGCAATGGATAGGTTTGTGATCACCCTGAGAATCACTCTGGGTCCTTAGTCCGATTTCTTCATTTGCTTGTCCTGGTTAAGGTCCAAAGTACACCCCCAAATCCAACATTTCTGAGGTATGAGCTCAGCCCCAGGTGTGCCACTCCCAGATCCCAGGGCCCCACAGGTGCACTGGGCTGGTCCTGGCTCACCAAGAGGCTCCAAATGGGTGGGGGAGGAAGACACAGACACAACACAGACCTGTACTACAATTTGGCTCAATGCAACGTCCCAGAGGAGCACAATGGCCATGAGAACCCAGAGGAGGCCCAGGTGGAGGGTGGTCAGAGAAGGCTTCCCGGAGGGGAGGGCCAGTCAGCTCGGCCTTGAAGGAAGACCAGGCAGTGGCTGGTCATAGTGAGTATGAATGTGATGGCTGCTTTTATGGTTCCGAGGGTTGCAGGGATCCTGAGAAGGGACAGATCCCTTCCACCCAGGATGTTAGGGAAGGCTTGGCAGAGATGGCCGCAACAGCTTAACAGGACTCCAGCAGGGAAAGCTCCATTCCAGGCCTGTCAAGCACAGCAGATACCCAGAGGCAGGCCCAGCAGTCAGGTTTCTGCACCCACAAGTGCATGCGTGATCCACTTGTGGCAGGAGTGGGGTCGGAGGGATGCCTGGGCAGTTGCAGAAAATGTGCCTGGAAGAGTGACCTATGTGACCCGGGGGAGAGGCCCTGGATGCCGAGCCAGGGAACTGGGGTCTGGTTTTGCGGGCTGCGTGGAGCAGAGGCGGCCATGGGCCCGGAAGACAGCATGTTCCAGGGGCTTGTTCAATGCAGAGTGAGTTTTCTGTAGAGATGCTGGCGAGAGCCTCTCAGTGGGATGCCCACAACCCCACCACCAGCGTTATCAGTGCTGTAACCACAGGAAAAGGCCCTTCCCGCCTCGGAATTTCCTCATCTGCAAAACAGATTGAGAGACTAGAAGACTTATCTTGAGGTTCCTTCCAGCCTGTGATTCCGTGACTCTGGCCACCCCGTGGCGAGCTCCCAGGCAGGGACTTGGGTGGGTGTCCACACGGCCCTCTCTCTTCCCCGCAATGATCAGTCCAGACTACAAGGCCCTGCTCTCCGCTAACCTGCATGTCAGTCTCTCCCCACCAGTGCCACTTGGGACGAATCAACCTCACAATCCCCACATGGCCAGGTCTCGGGAGCCCCAGCCCTCTCTCCATCTCCATCTCAGGGACTCGAGGTACCTCCAGCCAAACGCTTGTGACCTTCTTGACCCTCCTTGCCCCACACCCCGCCGGCCTAGAGAGAGCAAATCCCGGAGGCTCCACTTTTGACACAGGACAGGACTCTGAGGGCTTCTCTCCACACCCAGGGCAGCCTGGCCCAGGCACAGGTGGGGGTAGGGGGGAGGCTTTCCCACCCACCAACTTTCATCTCTGTCACCCCCCCTTTTACAAGTGGGGAAACCGAGGCATGAGTGGGTGGCAGGGGAAGCCTCCCCAACAGTCACACAGAACACCCACCAGGGCTGGTGAGAGTCTGGGTCTGCCACTACCTCCCTGAGGTCTGCGTCCCCAACTCCCCGGGGTAGGTCTTCTCTGGAAGCTGGCTTAGCAAGTCTGACCACACAGCCAGGCTCTGCACGCCCGCCTGCGTGTGTCCCTGAGGAACAAAGAATCTGCCAGCTGGGTTTATGTTTCAAGACGTCTGTCCTCGCCCTTGAGCCAGAGATCTTACGGGGAGATCAGGGCTGGAGCTGGGGGGCTAGGGACATCAATCGGAAGCCGCCTTGCCTAGAAACCCGAGAGGTCACCCCACCCGGCCTCCGGCACCTTCCAAGTTCACTTGAGGAGGCCACAGACTGCAGGGGTGGGTTGGGGTTCTCTCCCCACGTATTTCATACAGCTGCTTAAAAAGCTTGTTTAAAATAGAGATCATTATATATATTTATTTATATATATAAAATATATAAAGAGGAATTGAGGCGAGCCACCCCAAAGAAAAAGCTATGTTTTTATAAATATTTCTGTAGCTCCCATATCCCAGAGGAAGAAACAAAACAAAACAAAACAAAACATTGACAACCCAAGCTAGTGGTTTCGTGTGGTGGGCCCAGCAGGTTCAGACCCTGGGGGCAGCCAGTGGGGGCGTCTCAAGGGCAGGGTCTGCAGAACATTCTGAGGACAGGCACACCCCACCCCACCGCCCCCTTCCCAGGAGCTTGGTGTCTCTTGCTGTGAAAGGTCAAGTCCGTCCCAGTCCTGCCAAGCCCATGGCCCTGGCTTCTCGGAGCGGCCTGGAAGGCGGCGTGCAGGCGCTCCCCCGCTCCCGCTCACGGTTATTTTTAACCTAGTCGGTTTCCTTTGATGTGCCGGCCCTCCTTCCAGGGTGGCCAGGCCTTCTGTCCCCAGCGCTGTCCAAGTGGAGGCAAAGCCCAAGCCACCTCCCATGCCTGGCATCCCGGATCCCCAAACGGCCCCTCCGCAGGGTGTGTCCAAGACGCCTGGCGGGCGGGGTGGGGGGGGGTGGGCTCCGAGGGTCGGGGCGCGGGCGGGGCTTCACTTGCAGACGTAGCGCTCCACCGTGCGCTCGCAGCGGCGGCATGTGACGTAGCAGCACCAGTGGTACTTGCAGTGGCAGCGCTCGACCACGCGGTCCGTGTAAGGGTTGTAGCCGCGGCCACAGCACATGAGGTCACAGCTGTCACTGCCGTGTGATGTCTTGTTGCACTGCCTGGGGCGGGGGCGGGGAAGAGCACGGGGTGGTCAGAGTGCCACAGACCCCAGCCTCCCGCTAACTTCTGCTCCTCTTGGAAGGTGTTTTGGTCCCCAGGGGCATCATAACTAATCCCTTCCCCAGAGGGTACTTCTCATTTTCCCCTAGATTTCTAATAGGCACGCATCAGAATGACGGGACTGTTTTGTTTTCTTGGAGGTGTGTTTGTTTTCTGATCCTTCTACTTCTAAATACTGCAAGGAGCCTCAAACCGCTCTAACGATCCTGTCTTCATATCTGATCTTGAATTATATTGCAACAAATGTAAAGATCGTGTTTACATGGACAATCCCAAGATAATTCTGGAATAGACACAGATGCGAGGCAGAGTGACTAGGCAGCAGGCTGTTCGCTGAGAGCGAGCCTCTGTCAACCATCGGCCCCTCTGTGCCAGGTACTTCCCTCCAGTATTTTATCTTCCAGGATCCTTGGGTCAGTGGAATTATGCCCATTGTACAGATGGTAATGGACTCGGCTAAGGGCAGAGGAGTCTGTGGGCAAGCAGTGCTTGCCCAGAGTTTCACGGTGTGAGCATGGGGTCTGGGAGAGCTCAGGAGGACTTCCTGGAGGAGGGTCATATGGGCCGTGTCATGTAAGACATGCAGCAATCTAAGATGGAGAAAAGGGTAAGAGTTTTGGGGGGCAAAGAAAACAAACAGCTTGGGCAAAGGGAAAGGACCTGACCTAATCTAAGAGGCAAGAACAGATGGAAGGGTTAGGGCTGGAAGTGCAGAGGCTGGAGAAAGAGAGGCCAAGATCTGAGCTGGGAGTAGGCCATGGGGTGGGAAGGAGGGGGCACAGGGAAGGAGAGTCAGGAGGTGACAGTGGCCTGCAGGTAGGGGCTGCCAGCAGTTCCAGGCGGAAAGGAACAGCAGGAAGAACACATGCCCCAGAGGCAGACAGACCTGGGTTCAAATCCCAGCACTGCCACTTACTGGCTGTGTGACTCAAGGCAAGCCACATAACAAAGCTGACTCCGCTTAGTCACTGAACACCATTCATGCCCCTCAGCCGTATCCTGGAGGTCTCTGGACAATTCCTCCAGGAAAGGGTGGTAGGAAGAGGAAAGAGTTTCATTTTTATTTCTAGATCCCTGACATGCCATGTTTGGAACCTGCCCTCTAACCCCAGAACCAGACAAGGTCTGTAGTAGGGCCCAAGACAGGGAGCTGGGGAGAGTGGGACTTAGAGCAAGATCCAGGAGCCTAGGGCAGCTTTCATCAGTGCAGGGGCCTCTGAAAGGAACATGACTAGAGGGCCGGGGTACTGGAATGCTGACTGCTGCTGAGGCCTCCCTTCACCAAGCTGGATGTAAGGGGCGTGCGGGGCACTGTCCCCAGCTAGGGGGCCAGCCTCTAGAGAGCAGCCACCCAGGCACACTCTCCTTACAGTTAACGAAGCTCATTTACCTCTAATCCCTTGTACTCCCGAATCCCCTCACCTAGCAGAGCTCATGTTCCCCCCCTCCTCCAGGAAGCTTTCCTTGATGTCCAGGCTGGCTCAGGGCACCTCAGGACTCCCCTCCTCCTTGGGCTTTCCTCTGTCACAATCCAACCACTTATCTCTCCCCCCTCTCTATGCCTGCCAGAGCCTCACGTAATAAATAGATGGGAAAGTGTCTATCGTTGTAAGCTACTGAGACTTTACAGTTGTTAACTGCAGAAAAAGCTGACCCATAGAGATGTCTGCAGAATTCCATCTTCAGAGGAATGGCTGAGAGCTGAGCCTGGCAGGAAATCTGGTGGCAAGTGGGGGGAGGCATTCAGAGAAAGCAAGGGAGGCAGCCGGTGCTGTGGGATGGGGTGCCCTCGTCAGTGGTTTGGAGGCAAGCAGAGTGCGGGCCCCTGGGACAGCAGAGGCCTGGCAGCCTGGGGGATGGGGAGGGGAGAGCACCATTAATGAGCCCTTCCCATGGGACTGACATGGCCCTCAGAAGTGTAGCTGGTGCCTGCTGGCAGCCCCTCCACACTGCACAGAAAATGAGGCCGAGCCTCAGAGAAGTGAAGGGATTTGCTCAAGGTCCCACAGCGAGCACACTGCGGTGCCGGGGTGGGAACGGTCCTTTCCTCACACACGCGCACATGCACACACATCCCCCCCCATGGACCCAGGGAGACCCTCTGTGGGCTCCAGGCTCTCCCCAACCTCTCTGGGTTCTAGAATCCTTCTGCCCCCACCCCCCCTCCTCATCGCACCCAGCCCGGCTGCCTCAGACCAGACTTGCGCTCCTTCCGTCTCCCTGGCCCGACCTGGTTCCATCTTCACTCCGCCCGACCCCCCTCAATCTGGCCTCCAGATGGGAGCCAGGGCCTCCTCGCAGAGCCTGCTGCCCTGGCCTGTGAAGATGGAGCCCCCCCACGCCAGCCCCCCTCTCCTGGAGACAGAACATGGGCTGCGGAGGAAGCAAATGCTGGCCGGGCACCAACTATGTGCCAGACACGTTCTCAGACACCCTCGCTCTGGTTCAATATTCTTTTAACCCCACAGAACACTAGTTTTGTGGAATGCTATTAGGGGCTCCCTAATAAAAGAGTTCCACAGCCAAACACCTCTGGGAAACGTTGGCTTAGGCAGATCCTTTACTGTGGTATTCCTCCGAGCCTTTCAAATGTCCTCGTGCTTTGCAGATCGCCAAAGAGAATTTCCCGATCGTATCTGATGGCAGGACTGTTCCTAGGAGAACGTCTCGGGACTAACTTACCCCCAGAACCATCCCTGGGAAACATGGCTGCCCTGATTCCTCATCAGCCATGCCCGGCACACAACAGGTCACCCCTGCCTGGTTCTTTCTTTCCCCTGTCCTGAGCCGGCTTCAGCAGAGGTGATGGGGCCAGCTGTGGGGACCTCAGCCCTGCTTTTAAGCTGGGGACCAAGGGCAGAGAGAGCTGAGGCCCAGGAGGTGGGTGCATGCCTATCAGGGGACACAGGAGCATGGTCAGCCCACAAGCCAGACCTCCTGCTCTTGCTGCCCTTCCAGAAAGCAGCTGCCCAGGTTCTGTGTCCAGCTCTGTGCAGAACTCCTGCGTGCCTATGGGCTGGCTACTGCCCCCTTGTGCCTCAGGATGTCCGGGCAAGGTACACAACGGCCCCTCCCAGGAGCTCTGCTTGGGGGTACCTTGGACCGCGGCACCTCTGCTCAGCACTTCTGGGGCCACCATCCTCAACCAGGCAGGGACTCCATCCCCCAGCTGTCAGCTGAAGTGAGACTCTGTGCTGGCCTTGAGCTGGGGCAGGGCCTGTTGGCAGAGCTGACCCCCTCCCGCCGAGGTGGCAGCGGGACCTTACCTGTCTTGCGTCCCATGGGAGCCCACCTTCTCGTTCTTCATGCAGAAGTCGGGTGAGCTCTGTAGATAGACAAGCTCCGAGTCCTTCACAGGCCTGATATCCAGGTCCTTGGGCACCAGGTGCTTGCGGGTGCCCATGGGTCGGTGCACGACCTTGGTGGCCGACAGGTAGCGGGTCTTGAGGTCAGCGGCCACATCCCGGAGCTCCTGCAGCCCCTTCCAGCAGGTGCGGATGGAGCAGGAGCCAGACACCCCGTGGCACTTACACTTCATTTCCAGAGAGGCGCGCAGAGCCTGCAGACAGGGGACGGCGTCGGGCTGGGCGGCCAGGGCCCCCTCCCTGGCCTGCCCGGGGACCCTGCCGCCTACCCCCTACTCCCCCACATGCTGGGTGCTCTCAGGGAGTCATCGCCTACTCTGGGCCTCAAGAGAGCGAGCTTTTGGCTCTAAAGCTGGGGAGTGTTATAGGTTCTAAGCTCCTTCTCCAGCCTGGGCGGTGGCTAGGAGGGACAGGAAAGGAAGGAGTGGTATTTGCAAAGATGACTGATGCCAAGTACTCGAGCACTTAATATGGCTTCGTCATCATTAACAGTCCTTTTCCTTTCCCCATTTTCAAATGGGGAAGCAAGGGCTCCGAGAGGCCAAGTCTCAAGCTCAAGGTTGCACAGTTAGAAAATCCTGGAGCTGGGATCTGAACTCAGGTCTGAGGGCAATTCCAAAAGCCATGGCTTTCAACTGTTCCATGCTTTTTTCTTGCACAAAACTGGAGCTCACTGAATGTTTGCTGGGAGAAAGGGGAGAAAGAGAAGGGGAGGAATGAGGATGTGGGGGGTGGAGAGGCGGGAGGTAAGTGCATGGGGGTGCATTCCCTCGCTTGGCTGGCCCTTCCCCTCCACCACTGGGTGACCCCCAGCAAGCCCCTCCACCGGTCAGCAGCTCCGCCCTACTCTGTGCAGGGCAGGCTCGAAACTGCTATCCGCAGAACCACCGAGGGATTCCACAAGAGGACGCGAATGAAACAGTTTTGCAAACTCTAAAAGTCAAATTAACCCCAGTCTGAAAATCAGTCTAATGACTGTGGTGGAGCTGGGAGGCCTTGGCTCTGGGGCTTAGGGACACTCTAGCCCCGGCTTCTGAAATGACTCTGTCCCATCATCTTCCTCGGGCCTCAGTTTCCCCAGGTGTACCTGAGGGGCATGAGTTAAGACAGATGTCTCCTGCAGGCTGTTCAGTTTTGCATCTTAACCCTTGCTTCTCTGCGCACAGGGCTGGGATCCCTCTGCCCAGGCCAGCCCTCCTGCCTCCCCTCTGTGGAGCTACAAGGCTTACGGGTCCCCTGGGTCTACCCCTGCATTAGAAAGATGGGGAAACTGGGGCACAGAGAGGGCAGAGACTTGCCCCAAATCGTTCGGTGAGTTAGTGCAGGAGCTGGTAAGGTCCCAGGGCTCCTCTCCTTCACCGGTGCCAGGAAGTGGGGAATGAGGGAGTCCACTGGGTCTAGAATCAGAATTGGCTCAGCAAAGCCTGCGAGGAGCACAGGAATGAGATGAACCTGCTTGAAGGGCACATTCAACCTCCCAAGGGCATCAGGTACTCTTGAATCATCGAGGACAGGTAACTATGTTTAGCTCCCCAGCTCACATGGGTGGGAAGGGCCCTGAGCCTCCTGACACCCGCCATGGGCCTCTGTTTGCTATTTCGTTTAACTCTCATGAGCCCTGTGGCCACTGGGGAGGGGACTGGGTCCTTTTGCAGATGGCCCCAGGGAGGCCAGGTCCTTGGCATCAGGGCCCCAGGGACAGCCCCAGTGAGGCTAAGGAGCCTGTCTGGACTGCATGGTGTGGGGATGGCTGTGTCCCCGGCAGCATGAGGCTCAGGCCTGGCCATGGGTAGGAGTGAGGCTGGGCTCTTGGGCTGGGGGCGGGATTCCGAAGGATGGGGGCAGGCCGGCAGGGTTGGGAGGCAGGGTCCTGAGTCCCTGGCCAGACCCTGCTACAGTCTCCACTAGTGTCTCATGGCCAAAGTTTCCCCAACTGTCCAGATATGGCTTGGACATCCTAGAATCCTTCCAGGAGAGAGACCAGTGAGAGAGTGAGGGGAGGATGTGGAAACCTCTGGGCTTGGAGTCCCATAGACCTGGGCTCCATCGCACCCTGCGATCTTGGCTAAGCCACCTAGGCTCTCTCTGCCTCCCTTGCTGCCTCTGTACGATGGGCCTGCTGAGGCCGCAGGCAACCATGGGATGCCACATGCACCTGACGTGCCTCCCCCAGGCCCCCCGCTGGTAAGGGAGATGGCAGGGCCTCCTCACTGGGGGGGTGGGTTTTGTGGACTACAGGACAGCCACCACAGGGCCTGGTGCTCACATTGGTATGAAGGGTTTCTTTTTTTTAATTTTCTAAAAATAAAAAGGTCCATTCATTTACTTACGCATTCACCCCAACCTTCTGCAGAATGAGGTGAGGAATCAAGGAGATACTGAGAGTAACACATGTTGGGGGCCCACTGCGCTCTGGAGTTGGGTGGGGTCTGGTAGGGCCAAGGGGACCACCCCATAGGCTAAGGCTTTCACCCCACAGTCCTCCCCATGCCTCCTCCCACACCCAGCCGAGGCCCAAGTCCCCCATGTGAGGATCCTCAGGAATACGGCCAAGGGGGACTAGAGAGCAGCAAGCCCGTCCATTTTACAGATGGAAAGAACTGAGGCCAGAGAGGAAGTGACTTGCCCAACGTCCCCCAGCTAGTTTAGTGTCAGAGCCAAGGTGGGAACTCGCAGCTCTGGACTCCTAGCTCAGTGCTCCTTCTGCTCAACATTTTCAATTCAAATCCTGGTGGACCCCCTAGAGGAGGAGGAGCCTGACAAGCATGCCCCAAGCATCTGGAAAGGGGAGAGCAGGACAGGGTGGGGAGGAGGCTGGGAGCACATTGGTGTGGGTGGATTGGGGCCCATCCCCCCCCCCCCGGCCACCCCTGCCATCAGGGCGCACTGGTGGCCCTTTCCTTGCCAACTGGCACAAGCACAACCATCTGGGGTGGATGGGGTGGATGGTTACCTGTCTCCCCACTTCACTGTTGTGTAGACGCATCAGTTTATTGGCTTGGGATCCTGTTTTTTTCACCTTCATAGGAGCATCGGAAAACTTGGCCCCCATGAGGAGCCCGTAGCTGAGGTTGTCCGCACATCCTCCCCAGCGGTTCCCGGGCCCGGGTGGCTCACCTGGGACAGGGCCGCAGGAGCAGCCGGGCAGGTCGCCGGAGGTGCAGGCCCGGGCGATGGCGTGGCTGATGGCGGCCGCCGACAGCGCATACACGAAGGCTGACTCCCGGGTCCCTGGGGGGAGGTGCTGGGTCAGCTGGGGCTGGGGACCCCGGGGACAGGACCCCACCCAGGCCTAAGGTTCCCATCCTGAGCCCCTGCCTGCCTCGGTGGGGCTGGCAGGGAACAGGGGCTACAACCAGGTGGACGACACTAGGGACATGAACCTGTCGCTTGCCCATTCTCCCACACATACATCAGCTGACTTGGACACTTGCTCGCAAATGCCCCCCGCAGGCCCGCAAAGCCCACACACCAACGGGCACCCTTGCTTCCACACACTCACGATTCTGGATCTTCCCCCGTTTCCCTGCACTCACTGTTAGGGGCTACTCCTCAAAGGACTCGTGCCTCAAAGGGCAGATGAGTGTGCAAAGAGGTTGAAATGTGTTCCCCAAAAAGAGAAGGCCAAGTTCTGACCCCTGGTACCTGTGAACATGACCTCATTTAGAACCAGGGTCTTGGCAGGTGTGATGGAACTAAGATGTGGCCGTCCTGGACCAGGGTGGGCCCAATTCCAATGACTACTTCCTTATGGGAAGGGGGAATCATGGATACAGAGACCCATGGCGGGGGAAACCCCACATGACAGAAGCAGGGATCGAGGCAAAGCTTCGACAAGCTAAGGAACACCGAGGCTGCTGGCAACCACCAAAAGTTCAGAAGAGGCAAGGAAGGATCCTCCCCAGGGTCATCGGCGGGGAACACAGCCCTGCTGGCTCCTTGATTTCAGACTTCCAGCCTCCAGAACTCTGCACAATACAGCTTTGGTGTTAGAATTCCTGTTCGTGGGACTTGGTCACAGCAGCCTCGGAAAACCAATCCGGACGGAGCCCAACGTGCCTCTGCTGGAGGGTGTTCTCACCTTAGGTCCACGCAAGTCACCTCCCCTTCTCAAGCCTCAGTTTGCCTAACTGTAGAGTGGGAATGATAACACCCACCTCACAGGCTTGCTCTAGAGTTCAAATCTTTGGGAAGGAAGGAAGCTTTTTCAAGTGCTCCACAAACCTTAACTGTTACCATGTGGGGGAGAGATTAGATCCTCTGGGGCCCTTCTGCCCATCAATACCCTCCCCCTCCAAAATCTACCCCAGAAGGCACCTGCTCTTGAAAGTGGAGCTGCTACCTCTCATTGAGCATTTCACAGCATCGGCAGTCACTTCTGTCTAGAAGGACCCGTGCACACCTGTCTGCCTGAGGGTGGGCTCTCCTGTCCTCCTGGGCCACATCCACCCTTTCTTTGCACATTCGGGTACACACGCATTTGTACTAGCCCTACACTGTTATGTCCACTCCCTGTGTATTCCTATTCATCAATTCATGCCTGGATACCCATATCTGTGATTAAATTCAGCCACCCATCCATCCACACCTGTATTCTTCTCCGCGCCCCCATCCATCCCCCAACCTAGGCACCCATCCACCCACCGCAGAGAAATCAACATCCATCCATCCACCCATGAGTTCACCCACCTACCCAGACACATACCTGTATGCCCGAATTCATCCATCCCCACCTGCACGCATGCCACAAGCCCCGGCAGCCCGCGCTGGCTCCCTACCTCTCTCCAGGTCAAGCAGGTAGTTGGGGGCAAGCTCAATGGAGGAGCAGTTCCAGCGCATGTCGGCGAACGCCCTGCGGCAGGCCTTCATGACCTCACGGGCGGCATGCACGACGGTGTGCATGAGCTCCAGGTTGCTGCGGCAGAGCTGCACCTGAGCAGACACCAGCCCCTCCAGCTGCTTGCAGTGCTGCGTCTGGTTCAACGCCAGGGCCGCCGGGGTCTTGGACAGCGCCCTGCAAGCCGCCGGAGGGCAACAACCCACGGGAGGAAAGAGAGAGTGTCATGACAGGCCGCCTGCCCTATGGTCCCAGCCTTCCCTCAATGCGGTTGGGGGCCTTTGCTGGAAGGAGCTGGGAAACCAAGACACAAAGACCCTCCCACTCCCACTCCCTGTGACCTTGGGCACATCACCATCCCTCTCTGGGTCAGGCCTTCATTCATAATGCAGGATCATGACCTCCTCCCTACCTAGGCTTTGCTATCATTATCCTAACAATAAACCGTTTTATGGGTCACAGAGCACTCACACCCGCTTCCTTGTTTAATTCCTGTGAATTATGACTCCTTGTTCAACATTCAGTCCCCGCCAAGCCCCTGTATGTGCCGGGCCCCCGCGCTGCGTGCTAAATGATTAAATGATTACAGTCCCACCATAATCCTTACCATTAACTGAGCACTTACTAGATGCACAGGAGGAGCTAGGAGCTTACCATACATCCCTCTGTTTAATTATTAAAGTCATTTATTGGGCTGTAAAATCCCACACACATGAAAGGAATTTATTAAAGGATTAAGGAGCCACTCAATTTTGTGATAGATTACACTTAGCCATGAACTTGCTGTGTGCCCCTAGATAAATCACTGTCCTCTTCTGGGCTTCGGTGTCCGTACCTGCAAACTCTATTTCCCAGAATGGGTTCCAGTGAGACACTCTGAAAAAAGGGATCCAGGCATAAGTGCATTTGGGGAACCTGATACACTCTGTCCCTCTTTGGAGAGTAACTGATGCACATTTACATTTTAAAAGCCCTGAGAAGTCCCACAGCAAAGCAACCGGCTGGGTTTTGTTTAACTCTGGAGGCAGTTTAGCACAAAGGCCTTTGTCTGAGAAACGCTGACCTCATCCAGGCTTTGGGAAAGGCTGGCCTGGGGGTCGCTATGAACCCAGGTGACATTACAGGCCCAAGGAGCTTTCCTGATCCCGGCTCTAGGTACTGGGACTGCAAAGCTGCAGGAGCAGGGGTCCATCCTGGATGCACATTTCTCCTCTGAGGCACCTCCTCTAAGTGCATGCTACAGGGACCCCAACAGCCTTAAAGGGTTCTGCACAGACTAATCCCCTGCCCCAGAGCCAGCTGGCCCTCAGCAAGCCAGCAGAGACTCGGGAGGAAGTGGGGCTGGGGGCGGGGGATGCTGATCTGCAACCACAGTGCTGGGGGGCCCTCCCTGCTTGCTGTGAGCACCGCAGTCTACCAGGGTCAGGGCTGAGACCTACTGAGGCCAAGATCCCAGAACACCACCCTCCCACCCTCCCTAGGGACCCAGGACCCTGCCTAGGGAGGTAGTACCGTGTGAAAGAACAGTACATGGAGGGGCAGACTCCAGGGTCTGTCGTTCTCCCTTGTGACCTTGAGCAAGTCACTTGGCCTCCTCTCCTAGGCCAGCAACCTCTCAGCATTACCAGGGGGGAGTAACTCAATGCAGCTCATGTGCTCTGCCCATAGCTGACACACCCACTCGGCACTCAGGGAGGGAGGCACTACAGTCCCTGAACTGGTGGTCTTTTCCTACCAGCCAAGGGCTGCCTCAAACCTGGGCCCCCTCTCCAGCATCCTGACCTTAACATCTGGACACACCAGACTCCTGGCTCCCCTGAAGGGGGACCGCCCTACCACCTTGTCTTTGCCCAGGAGTAACTTTCCCCTTGCTCCTGTACCTAAATGAACAAATGAACTCGATCTACTTGTGGAAGAAATATTTACTAAGCACCAACTCCTCCTGAACTCATTTGGTAACGAACACAACACAGATCCTTTCCCCAAGGAGCCCCGAGTCTAACGGTTACACAGAACCCATCCACAATTATAACCCAGATGACCCAGATGTTCCAGCTCATGGGCTGGCCCAGGAAAGAGCCCAACCTAGGGCACAGCTGTGTGACATGGGTAAGCTACCCAACCTCTCTGGGCCTCATGGTCCTCATCTGTTATAAGAAAATGGCAATTTCCACTTCAAAAGGTCAAGGCAAGACTTCAATAAGATAATGCATATAAAACATCTGGCACACTCACACATGGGATTGCCTCTGCTTATTGCTGGGTGAATGCCGGACCAGAGGGAGTCAGAGACCTGGGTTCTAGCTCCAGCTCTGCCTTCTGTGTGCTGTTCACCTTGGGCAAATTGCTGAGCCTCTCTGAGCAACACCTACAAAATGGGAACTCCGAGAGGCCTTAGAGGGGCTGAGTGGGGTAAGAGGAGCTACGTTAGGTTCTAATAAGTCAGTTTCCCTCTGCCTCTCACTCTCCACCACATGCCCCACCCATGCTACGACTCCAAAGTAGAGAAAGCAGAGCCAAGACAAGTGGGCCCGGTCTGGTGTCTGCAGTCGGGCTGGCCTGGCCCAGCCTCAGATCGATCATGGCTATCTTAGGCTGTTTCTCCTCACTGCTACCCTTGGCCCGACCCTACCCTCCAAATCATGAGCAGGGAAATGTCTGGTAGCTTTGGATGCAGAGCTAAGTTAGGCATGGTTTCGTGACCTACACTGAGCCAGCCAATCCTCCCCAGTCCTCTGAGCCCCGGAGGCCTGTCTAGGCCAGGACCGCTCAGGGAACCTCTTGTCTGGATTCCTGCAGCCTAGACTGGGGGAGCTATGACCACACAGAGCCAGATTCTATCCCCTCAGCCTGTTTCCTGGTCGGTACAGCCCCCCACCTGCACGCAGCTACCACCACCCAAGTACGTGGACATACTACCCCACGAAGGCACAGCATTCCCCAGCTGACAGAGCCTCTCGCGTCACACACTATCCCATGGTCACAGAGGGGTCAGGCTGGGAGATGACTACCCCCTGCCCTTTGTACAGAGGACGACACAAAGGTGCTCCGCGGCCCAGATGCCCCGTCTCCTCCCGATGCCATCCTCCCGCAGACCTGGCATCTCCTTCCTGGGTCCCCCTCTGCTGGGCTGGGGGCTGCCGACACTCAGCCTGTCCTGAGTCTGCTCTGCTCCTCATCCTGGCCCAACTTTCTTCCTTCCCTCCGTGCCAGTTTTCTGTTTCACAACGGGAAGGGTGATAGGAGATAGTTGAGAAAATGCCCCGCACAGCACCAGGGAGCGCGCAGTGGGCACTGGAGCAGAGAGGCAGCCTTCTGAGTCCTGGCAACCTCGGCTCCTGCACCAGCCCAGAAGTGGACAGCGAAGGCCCAGGTTTTCCCTGGGGAGCTCAGCACAGCCAGTTCCTGAGTGCCATGTGCTTTGGCTCCAAAGTGGGGCGGGGTTCTCTGTGCTTTGGTGCCTGGGGGCCTGGGCCACTCTGGGTATCAGTCTAGAGTCACCCAGCCTCCACCTCCCCAGCCAGCGGTGAGAAGAGGTACTAGGAGGGAAACCCCAGTGAGGAGTCCCCCAGATGAGGCCCAGACAGCCAAGGAGGGCAGAGAACAGACAGGAAGCATCCTGGAGAGCCTTGGTGGGTGAGGAGGGGGAGAGTGGGGCACACAGAGCAGCCAGCCGCAGCACGCGGGCGGGGAGATCTGGAGGCAGGAGGCAGCGGATTCCACTCCAGAGGAGGGCCATGCGGTCATCTGGTAATTAGTGGTAATGACCGTTTCTAACTAAGTCCCCCTCGGGGAGGTAATCAAGGATTAGGGCGGGAGGCGGGGGAGTTAGCCGTCTGGACATCTCCTCTGGCTTACCTCGCGGCAGCAGACCCCTAATTGAAAACATTTTGGTTTATCAGGGGCTGGGGACATGCAGGAGAGGGTGGAAGAAAGGACATAAGGGAACAGAGTTCACAAGCAAGGTCCGTGCCAAAGATGCGTGCCAAGGTCTCTTTCATCTGGGAGTCGAGGGTTCTCCTGGGAGTGGCTTGGGGACAGAGGCTGGGGTTTCAGCTCCAGCTCAGTCGCTCATCCAACATGTGACCTCAGGCAAGTCACTGGCCCTTGCTGGGCCTCAGTGTCCCCATCTCATTGTACAAGTGGGAACACCAAGGCCAGGGAAGGGCAAGGCTTGCCCAGATGTGTACATAGCCAATTGGGCAGAGCCAAGCCAGAACCCAAGCTTCCCAGGTTCCAGGCTACGGCTCTTTCGCTCCCATTTTAGAGATGAGGAAGCTGAGACTCAGAGAGGCAGAAACCACTGATTTGCCCGAGGCATGGCTCATGGCTAATGGACTGGCAAAGCTCAGGCTGAGACTCAGATTCCCAACAGGTGAGCATTCTGGGCCACCGAGCCATATCTGGTTTCAATTTGGTGTCAATTGCCCTTTTCACCTTCAGGTCCCTTTCCAAAGCCCAGGGCAGCAGGACCACGGGGACAACCCCGGGTTGATGAGTCTCCTAGGCAAGCCCCCAGCCTCCAGGGCCCACTGTTTCATGGTTCCCTGCCACCACAAAGTCACAGAGCCAGACCCCCAAATTCCACATCCTGCCTCTGCTGCCTACTAACTGTGACACCCTGGGAGTTAGAGGCCCCTTGCCCCTCCATTTCCTGTTCTATTCAAATGGGGTGACAGCAGAACCCCCACCCATGGTGGTTGGGAGATTCAAATGAAACAATATACATAAAGTGCTCAGAACAAGGGCGCCTGGGTGGCTCAGTCAGTCAAGCCTCTGCCTTTGGCTCAGGTCATGATCCCAGGGTCCTGAGCTCCAGCCCCACTTCTGGCTCCCTGCTCAGCGGGAAGCCTGCTTCTCCCTCTTCTCCTCCCCTCTCCATTTCTGCACTCTCTCTCAAATAAAATCTTAAAAAAAAAAAGTGCTCAGAACAGAGCTTGGCATGTAACAAAGCCACACACACACACACACACACACAGTTTGTTATGCTTAAACTCCACTCCAGTCTCCCCCTATATCTTCAGCTCCAGCAAGGGTTTAACCACTATCATAGGGCTTGGGTGAATAGAGCCCATCTGCCTGGGTTCTGATCCCACAGCCACCATTAACTAGCTGCGTGATCTTGGACAAGTAACTGAACCTCTCTGTTCTTTAGTTTCCTCATTTGTAAAACGCTAGTGATAAGAATATCTCGGACCTGATAAGAGTCTTATCAAACTTAAGCAACTAAAGCTTTTGGAAGAAGTCTGGGGATTTACGAGGGAGCTCCTACCATTTCTGGCTTCTCTCTTTCCCCATGATGCACTGGCCTGCCTCTCTACTTGCGTCCCTGCTCTTGCTCCTGCAGAGATGCCTGCTTTGCATTCCATCCTTGGCCATCGAAATCCTACCTACCCTTTGAAGCCCAGCCCAAGTCACTTCCCTTAGATGGGATTCTAACCACCCCTCCTCTGGGCTCCCACACTCCCTCTCCTAGCACACAGCCCAAAGTCCACTTCACATCTGGACACGTCCATCTAGCCCAAGCACAGGAGCCACTGTAAGGCAGACACTGAGTTGTGTTCATCTTTGCAGCAGCCCAGGCAAGGCAGTGCGGACGGCATGGACGCTGGGCTTAGCTAGCCATCTATTCCAGGCCCTCCTGGGCCACGTGCCACAGGGGGGCTTGTGCAAGCCACGGGCTTGTCAGAGCCCCAGCTCTCCCACTGGCACGGGAATGGTAGTGGCATCCCCCACAGTGCTCTAGGAGGAGCAAGGCTCTTTCTTGGCCTCTGACGCTCCTTGTGCTTTCTGGCAAATCATTCCCCCTGCTGGGGACCTCAGTTGCCTTATCTGTACAATGGTGTGGTGGGTGAGGAGGGCTCAGATGCTCTGATCAGAGGTTCCCACCAGCTGGCACAGTGCCAGGCACCAGCAGGAGAAGGTGGCTGACGTTTCACAAAACTAATCAGAAGCAGCTGAGAAAACCCACTGAGCCCAGGCTTCTCCTTGCAGACAAGAAATACAAGAAAGAAGATGGGGTTCCCCCTCCTGAATCACCAATTAATCGATAACTCAGCCCCCGGGAGGGGAGGGCCAGTGACCTCAGGACTGTTTGCTGCCGGCCCAGCCACAATTGCCCTGTCCTGCACCTAATCCACGAACCTTCCTCATAGCCCCTCCCCAGCCCCCATAATCTGTCCCTGCCTGTCTTATCTGTGTGGCCCCCACCCCACCCGGACTCCAGACCTGTCCTGTCCTGGGCATCCCCACCACTCAGAATAGAGTCCCTTCACCCAAAGTGCACTCCTCCCCACTGGGCCCACCCACCAAAGTCCCAGAAACTCCTCAGGCCCAACCTAGGGCACCACTGCTCACAGATCACCCCAGGGTCCCAAGTATGTGCCCCCCACCGGGTAGTCTCCCCTCCCGGGCGCCCACACCACTGCCCTGGTCACTCCTAAGGCACTTGGAGTTATTTACAGCTTGGGCTTATCTCTTCCAGCCCAGAGGGCAGCTCCTCCAGGAAGGGGCTGGGTTTTACTCCTCCCCCCCCTCCACAGCCTGGCCCACAGCCTTGTCCAGAGCAGGCACTCCCTTCTGCTGGATGGAAGAGAGACTCCATCTCCCACCTACCGGTCCATTAATAATTTCTATCTAAAGGAACACACATCACATGTGCACAGCATCTGACAGTTTACCAAGTTCTTTCATGAGCCGCTTCTCGTCTGATCAGAGTTAGCTAGAGACTCCTTCCCTCCTTCGACAGAGGACACTGAGGCTCCCAGAGGTTGAGCAACCCTTCCTCCAAGGTCACCCAGGTGGAAGGGGTCAGGACTGTTTGAGATCTTCTACTAGGGTCAGGAGACTGACAGGAAACATGATACTGAGCAGGCCAGGGTCCAGAGCAGCACAGAGCCTGTCCATTGGGCCAGTGGACCACATTGTCTTTTCCCATCTGTCCCTGTTGAGGTCTTGTGAAATGCTAAGCCACACAGGACCAGGCAGTTCTGTCGTTCCCCATGCCCTGTCTCGCTCCTGCTTCCCAACTCTTGGGGAGGTAAGGACAATATTTTACAGAGTAGGAAAAGGAGGCTTAAAAAGAGTGACTTGTCCACGACCCCCAAGCCAACTTCTGCTCCCGGGTCTGGGCACGCTCACCCGATCCCCACCGGGGCCCCTCCACATTAGCCGCTGCCCCCAACCTCCTGTCCCACACCCGATGTCCCCACTTACAGCCACTTGATGCCGTAGCATACGCCGGTCTGGAGCGCCAGGGCGAAGAGAAGCGCCTCGCAGACCCGCGGCCGCGCCCTCATGGTGGCGCGGCAGGCGCGCTCGGGGGTCGCACCCTTGAGGAGCTGCACCGAAGTCCCGCAGCGCGCACTGCCACCGCCGCACGTCCTGCGCGCACGCCGCCTGCAGTCGGGGAGAGAGAAAGCGGCGGGTTAAGGCGACGCGCAGGGAGGGGGCCGCGAGGGGGGGGCGTTTTATTCAAATTACAAAGGAGGGGTCGGCCCGGGAGGCCGAGCGCGCGGCGGGCGTCGCCTCCCGCCCCGCACTGCCTGGGACGCTGCAGGCGTCTGGCTCAAATTAGGTGTCGCCGGAGCGCGGCCGAGGGCGTGTCCACCTAGCGCGGCCCCAGGCTGGGATCCAGCCTGTCAGCGCGCAGGGAAAGGGGGACTGGACCAGAGAGGGAGAGGGTCGGTCAGAGACAGAGGCAGAGGGAGCAGCCGGGCACAGACAGACCTCGCGAGGGACGGAAACGCGAGGAGGAAGGGGGTCAGGGCCGAGGCCGGGCGTGCGCTAGGGCAGATGGCGGGCCCAGGATCCGCGTTATCTCCAAAATATTAGCCACTAGTTCGTAGGGAGGGCCTTGGCAATTCTCCTTCCCAGCTGGGCCTCGGTTTACCTCCTCTGTAAACTAGGGACACAGCTGTGATTCCAACTGGGATTCAGACACAATTCGCCTTTTATAAAGGAAGTTCATGATCGCATTTGCTCCTCCCAGCAACCCTGTGAGATAGGTACCATCGCTGTCCCCATCTCACAATGAGAAATCTGAGGCCCGGAGATGCGGAACGGCGTCGTTTATCCAGTGAACGGCAGGTCCATGCCCCGTGTTCTACTCCTAGGTGTCCTGTTAGTTCGCTGATGGTCAGACCAGGAAATGGGAACTTGCTCCGGGCATCAGTGAAGGTGACGATGAGAAATGAGATGCCAAAGGTCTTTGTACAGTGGTCCGGAGTCTGCAAGTCCCCGCCTAGCGCCCCCCCGCCCCGCCCACTTTGAAGGGTCGGGTGGTGCCCAGGCGAGAGCCAAGGCGGGACAGCCCTGCCAACGCTTAGCCTACTCACGGAGCCGGCGCGATGCCGCCTCTGGCCGCCAGGGGGCATCCTGGGGCCGCGGAGCAACCGTTACCCAGCCCTACAGCAGGTCGCAGGGCCGCTTCTCGGGGTTTTTTTTTCTTTTTCTTCTACATCTTTTTTTTTTTTTTTTTTTTTTTTTTTTCCATTTTTGGTCTTCCCTCTCTTCATTCTCACCTCGTTAACTCCCTTCCCAGCTTCTCCCAAATTTACCAACACTTGGCGTTCTCGCGGAGACAAATACAACTCTGCAGCCCCTCTCCCTTGGGGAGGAGCAGAGACAAAGAAAGGGATTCCTTTCTAAAGGGCTCGGGGAGTTGCAGGAGGCGGCGCCCACCTTACGGAGGGCGCTTGAGTGGAACGGGGGGCGTTCTCATCTGGCTGTGTGAGTTTGGGTGAGCCCTCCACCTCCCCTAGGCTGTTTCCCCTTGTATGAAACAAGGGACTGGACTCGACCGCACATCTCCCGAAGTCTTCTAAGCCTCGCAGGAGCCTGCGGGTCTTTGAGCTCCCCTCTCTGAGTTTCCACTGTTACGAATACCTGTGCAGTGTGTGCGTGTACGTGTGTGCCTCAAGCACACACACAGATCTGAAATAGCACTGTTTTCTGAAAGCTTGCGGTACAACCCAGAAGGCAGGGATGAAACCCTGAATTACGTTTCTTTTTCCTCCTTCCCAGTCTCCTGGTAGGGGCCTAACACCAAGCCGCTCACTACAGACTTACGGAGTCCAAGGCTAGGGGTCTCAGCGGGGTTCTCAGTGTTAACTGAGCCCCCTCCTCCCACCCAGCCTGCATCCAAACCTTTTGTCTTACGGCCCTGAAAGTTTGCCACACTCCCGCGGACGAGAAGTATATCGGCTGGATATGGGGGGAGAGGAGAGGATCAAAACTCCAGTCACTGTCTCTTTTCGCCCCCACCCTGTCCCTAAACGTGGGCTCCCCTCCACACCCTACCCCGGCCCCGCCAGGCGCCCTGCATTCCTGAGTGGGGAGGAGGAAGGAACTGCACGCGGACAGAGGAGAGTGCGGATTCACAGCGGGGGATTCATGTCCATCCCTACTCGCCCAGGGAGAGGAGGGGACGCCCTGGTCACAGCAAACGGGGACCCAGGCCTACGGACACTCCAGGCCTTTCCTGAGAGGCGCGGTGGTCCCGGGCTTCTCACTCCACCGGCCCTGCACGTCGCTGGGAGACATCGCTGGGAGACATCGCTGGCCTGGCCTTCTGAGTCCTGACGGATTATTCCTGTCCCGTGTAAGTGCGTCCAGGACAGCGTCGCCGGCTGCTGGGTCACCCTCAGCCCGCGCGCGGCAGGTCAGGACGCACTTGCTTCCCCTAGCCCCCGGCCCGCCAGGGGGCGCTACGCCGGGGTTCGAGGTGGGATCCGAAGCGGCCTCCTGCGCGGTGGGACTTTGGGCAAGTCCCCTCCTCTTCCTGGGTCCAGGTGTCCCCGTCTGAGGATGAGATGAGGCGTAGAGTAAGTGCCCTCTCCGCGCTGGTCGTTGTATAAGACATCCACTTGCCGCGGTCAGCCGCCAACGGCTCGACCCCTTGTTTCAGGCTTAGCGCGGAAGCTTCCTTGGGGCCAGGCGCGTAGCTGGCCAGCGTCAAAGCGCAGCGTCTTTGGGAGAGACAAGCTGTCCCTTCCTCCTCCCCGCTGGGGTTAAGGCCTAAGCTACTCCGTTGCAGCTGGCGACAGAAGTGACCTCCTGGGCTGTGCACCGTGAGCTCAGTAGCTGCAACCCGCGCCAACAGGTGGTTATAAGGCTTGGGCTCTGGAAGTCCTTGGAAACGCCGCCGCTAAGACGGCCGCCCCTCTAAGTCGAGCCGGTGGGGCCACGCGGAGCCTCCGCTACCGGGATGAGCTCTCACTGGGCCGGGAGCGGGTGCGGCGCTCGGGGCCGAGTGTCCACGCCGCGGGTAAAGTCGGCGCGGGCCGGGCCTGAAGCCTCGGGCTGCGCAGCTGGCAGAGCCGACCCTGCTAGCCGGTGACGCTGAGCGACCGCTTCAAGGTTACCTGCGACGCGAAGCTAGGCCGGGCCCACAACCCGGCTTTGACCCCAGCGGGGAGTCTTGCGAAATCTGTCTGCTCTGCTTCGAAAGACGCGCCCGGTTACCCGCGAGACGGGTTATTTTAGAAGAGGGAAGGGTGGGGTGGGAGGACCCGGGATACGTCTTGCCACCCCTCTGGAGCCGGACCCTGAGAGCCTAAGGACCTTCAGGGTCACGGAGACACCTCACCACCACGAGGTGGGAGGTGTGGGGCTCGTGCACGAACTCAGCCAGATGTTCATGGCGGCTCCAGATGTGCCTCCGTCCCGGGACAGGGCTCTCCTCCTCCCCACCCCACCCCCAGTCTGGAGCTCAGGTCCGTAAACAGTCCCAGTTCTCCCCTTCCCCCGCCGCCTCGGGGAGTCAGTCTCAAAGCGAAGCTTCCGCCCCCAACACCCCCCCCTCCCAATTTGGTAGGAACTGCAGTAGTTCTCTGCCTTTGGCCACCTTCTCCCGCCCCGCCATACACACCCTCTTGCCCAGCCGCACGATCCAAGTCCCCCACCCCCGGGATGGCTCGGGCATGACCTCATTCTCGGGCCGAGTGGGAGGGAGAGGGGTCGAATAGGGGGAACGGGGCCGGGAAGGCTGGCAGCGACCTGCACAATCGGCACAAGCAACCTCCAGCATACAGACCGGGAAGGCCCGCGCCCCCTAGTCACCCCACGGCTGCGCTCTCCAGGAGACTCCTCGGAGAATCGCAGAGGAGAGGTGTGGAGGAGGACTTGATGTGCTTACCCGCGAGTATGTGCCCTACGGGGTCGTGCTATCCCCCTCGGACTCGGACGCCCCCGCCCCAGCAGGTCCCGGCTAAGCACCAGCGCGCTGCGGGCGGCCGCGGCTCACCTCCTGGGGCGCTCGGCAGGCGCGCCCTGAGTGCCCCGCTGCCCGGGCCGGCCGGGGAGCGGCTAGCGCGGCCCCCAGCGGCCCCGAACGCTCTCCGGGCTGGGCAGGCGGCTACGGCGCCCTCTTCACGCGGCAGCTGCAGAAGGATGCCCGGGATCCCCGCGAACGGCGGCCGGCTCGGGTTCCGCGAGGACTGCCGGCAGCGCGGACTCAGGCTGCACAGGGCTGCGCTGGGCTCTCGGGGCCTGCGCTCGCCCGCTCGCCTGAGCTCTCCTCCTCGCGCCGCACGGTCTCCGGAGCGGGCCGCCCGAACAGCTTTATAAGGCGCGGGCAGTCGCTTTGATCCGCCCACGTCAGCGCGCCGAAACCCCACCGGGTGGCTCCCGCCGCGCGCGGGGGGCGGGGGCGGGATCCCCGCGGACGCCACGGACCCGCGGCGCCGACGGCACAGAGGACTTCGCACCCTGATGGGTTACAAAGGGGGACTTATTAGCCGTAGCTGGTGTTTAATAAACGCGCCTGCTGCCGGCGTCCTGCGGCCCTGCGGTGCGTGGGGCCCAGGGAGGGCAGGTTTCTAGAGCTCGCAGCCAGCGGAGCGAGGAACCTCAGCCCGTCTGGTTTGACAGAGGAGGAAGCCAAGGCTCCCAGGGAAGTCCCGCTTGGGTCTCAGCCTGGAACCCGGCTGGTATCACGAGGTGTTTGTCTTGCAGCTCGGTTACTTGACACGTCTGGGGTCCCGAGGACCGCGTTGGCGTCCCAGGACGTCCTTCGAGGGGTCACCTCTCTAAACCTCTGCTTCTAGTTCTGGAAAAGGGATCCGCCATTCCGAGCTTTGTGCGGAAAAGAGGAGCGCGAGTGCGCTGCCCTGTGAAGTGTGCTGTAAACCCGAAGCCCAAGAAGGCAGGCGTTCCAGCCTCTGGGGTGACTGTCGGGGAAGTTTTCTGTACACCTTGCCTCCTGTTCCCGGGGATGGGGGCTGGCTACCGGCGGAGAACTGGGTTTTAGAAACTAGTTGGGACTACAGAAGTGCGTCCTACCCTGCGTGGAGCAGGCCCGGGGCTAGGGCTGTGTTTCTGAAGCAACTTCCCTGGGACTGGTTAGGTCAGTGCCCATCCCTCTCCGCACCCACCCCTTGGCCTTTCTGGCTGACAGCACACACACACACACCCCTCATTTCTAACTTGCTGGGTCAGGTGTTGAGGTTTCCATGGCTTCTGTTTGCCCCGACTCCAGGGGCCTCTGTCCCAAGCATAATCTCAAGGATAATCTAGCTCGTTAGTAGAAGGGAAATACAGACTTAGTGACAAGGGGCTTGCCTTAAGGTTCCTAAAACACCTGGTACGCTTTGTCCATTCCTTGAGGCTGCCACCAAGTGGCCCCCATAGGCTGCCCCAGCCAGGCTGCAGGTACACCATGTACACACACACATCCGGGCCCACAGAGCCCACTGTGGGCTCTTGGCCATACAGATACCCTCTGCACATGACTGCCAGTCCTCACTGCACACAGGGCTGGGACATATCACCCCACAGATGGTCACAACACACTCAGGAGACACCTGCACACACCATATGCCCACACACATTCAGTAGCAGATACAAGTGAAATGACCATATACATCTTCAAGATGAGGCCAAAGACGTGACTGCCCCCATCCAGTTCATGCACATACGTGTGCTTCCTTGCACACGTGGGAATGCACATGCAGCTTCCAAGCATGCAACACCAAATGCACAGACACTCCCGCAAAGAATCATGGGAATGTCCTTGTGAACACAGGCTGGGACCCCCCCCACCCATCTCCTCTCCCAGAGCATCAGGGTCAGTCAAAGCTGTGGGAAGTCATAAAAGCTGCAGAAAGGCAGTGGGGCTTTAGGTGGGGTTGTCAAGAAAAGGCACAGTGAGAGACAAAGCTCCACCTAAGAGGCTGGAGACAGAGGTCCAGGGGCCAAGACTGTCCTTAGTTCTCCCACCCCAAGGCACTGTGGCCACCACGGTCAGGGGCATTCCAGGTGGCCTCTGTCCAGCTGGGATTCACCCTCCTCTGGGTCTAACTTTCTGCCTACAGAGAAGCTAAATGAGTTGCCTGCAAACATTTGCATAAGTGGTCCTTCAGCCAGAGATCTCTTTCTGGCTCCCAGCTTCGGTAGAAACAGAAAGCATTTTGGAGTCACACACACTTGGGCTCCAATATTGATTATTGTCCTATTTTATTTTTAGCAGTGTGACCTTGAACAAGTTGCTTAAACTCCATGAGTACTAGTTTCCTCATCCGCAAAATGGGAATAATGCAATCCCATCAAATCTTCTATATCCTTCAATATGGGATTAGTATCCCCATTTCATAGATACGGAAGTGAGGCTCAGAGGGTGGAGCTGGTAAGCGTTGGAGCTGATATCTGAACCCAGATCTTTCAGGCTCCTGCCCACGATAGCTGATGGCCCCTATTGAATCAGACGGGAGGATCCTGACTTCCCACTATCTGCACTGAGTTGAGGGAAGCCAGGAGAAAGTCCCAGAATTCTTGAAGCCCAACCCTGAGCCCTCCTGACCATCCCCAACCCCATACTCAGCTCTGTCTCCTGGATCAAGACCCAGGCATTAGCTAGGGCTGAAAACCCTGTCCTGGGTGGTGAGGGGAGGCATGAACTAGAGACAAAGCCCTGGATTCAGAGTCAAGGGAACCCTGGGGCAAGGCTGTACCCCTCCCTGTACCCCAGGCTCTGCATTTGTATAAGAGAAGTAGTTTAGTTTACTGCTTCAGACATTAGAGACGTGAGAAAAAACCTTCTTCATCTTTAGGACCAGCTGAACTCCCCCCTACCCTTTCCTCCTCCCTCCTTCTGTCCAGGGGCTCCTCAAGGGCCACTGGCCACCTGGGTTACAACTCCCCTCCAGAGGGGAGGAGGCTCTAGGCTGGGCTAGGCACACTCTTGGCTGCTGCTTGCTGTAGATGTTAATATATTTTCCTTCTCCTCAATTTCCCCTGGTGATTCTGGTTATCTGATCGCCCAGACGTGCTGGGGGCTTCCTATCCACGGGCTTCTCAGCCCCTGCCTGACTGCCATTGGTCGGGGGTACACACCTTTCCATCCCCCACCCCTGCACACCACCTGCTGGGGCGGGGGCACCCAGGCTGAAAGGACATGGGGGTGGGGGAAGCTGCAGTTCCAGTTCTGTTCATGTGGGCCTCTACCGACCCCTCCACTCACCTCTGCATCCCTCCCTTGGGGCCAAGGCCTTGGTAGAGATGCTGTGGGGAATCAGCTATTTCTGGGAGCCCTGGATGGGGAGACAGATGATGTGGATGGACGTAGGCCTTAGACCCATCAGTAGTTAGCTGTGTAATAGCAGATCACTGTTTTGCCCTTTCGGAGCCCCAGTCACCCCATCCATGAGGGATTATGCTAGGTAACCCCTACGGGCTTTGAGCTCCAAAACCTGGGTCTTGGGATCTCCTTGACTTTTACCTGTGTCTTAGGATGAACCATGGACATGGCGGACACTAGGAGGCCGTGAATGCAGGGTTGTGGCAGTCTCAGCCTTTGCCCTAGGCCCTGGCCACAGCCTGGGGGAGAGAGTCTCCCGCCCCTGTTCCTCAGGTACCTCGGGGGAGGGATTGTGATTTCCTGAGGCTCAGGGAGTAGGCTTTAGGCGCTGGGGTCCACTGGGAGGTTTCTTTCCTGGGTGCGCATAACAAAATGCCACAAGGCCTGTAGATGACAATGGAGGGCGTCAGTGCTGAGGGGCCCCTTTCAACTCTCCATTGTCTAGTTGTAGTACTCTCAGGAGACAGTGTTCGTGTTTCTGGGCCTTTTTCAACTCCATGAGAGAAACCCAACCCCAATCGGCTTCAACAGACAAAAAACCGATGGGCCCAGGCAGCCAGAGGAGAAACTGGGGTGGCTGGTGACCAGAAGAGACGGCTGTACCGCCTGGGGTTTGGGGCTGGGAGTCCCCCCCTCCGGAGTGCTGTCAGACACTCATGATCTGTCTAGTTACTGTCACTGGTCTGAACTCTTTCTAGGAAGGCCAGTGAGGTAGTTTTTAATGGCACCGATTCCTCTCATCCCAGAACATACACTCCCCCTTTGAAATGTGACTCCATTCAGGGGTGAAGTTTATTTCCCCACCCCTTGCTCTGGGCCAGCCTGTGGCTCACTTGGCCCCATTGATGTGACAGCGTGAAGCTGTGCGTGTCCTGGAGCCCAGATATCAGGGACCTTGCAGCTTCTGTGTGCGCCCCCGGAGCCCAGCCCAACTGCCGGGGCTACTTACTGAGAGGGAGGCCCCGAGGCCACATGGAGAGAGGCCGGCCTGGACCCCCCCTGCCCGGCAGAACCCAGGCCTGGCTGACCCACTGGCCAGATACAGCCGTCCGAGAGCTGGCCAGGTGGCCCGCAGGGCCAGGAGCATCAGTCAGCTGTCCCCGTCAGCCACGATATTTTGACACGGTTTGTCACCTGGCAAGAGACACCTGAAGTGACTGGGCTTAACTGGCGAAAAGGCTAAAAAATGTGCATTTGTCTCAGGTCATTTCGGAATCTAGAGTCAGGCCATTCACCCTGTCATGTCTCTGAAGTCCTGGTCTCTGGAGGCCCCGTGAATGTCATCATTGCTCCGGGAACCTCACGTATTCAGCGACAGGCTCTGTCTGCCCAGGCTGCGTCCCTGGTGCTCCCTCAAGGCAGCCAACAGGGGCAGCTCCAAAGTTGCCAAATGAGCGAATGGCCTCAGGCACCTCTGCTCACAAACCTGCAGGGGAGGGAGCTCACTCCCTCCAGGACAACCTCTTCCCCTGATGAGAGAGCTCTACCTGCAAGAAGGTTCTTTGCCATCTAGAGCAGAGATCTAGGACTCCTCTTCCAGCCTCTGCTCTTCCACAGGATGGCCTTCGGCACATAACAGTGGCCCCTGGGATTTGCAGAGCAGCACAACCTCCCTTAATAGCAAGTATTTTCGTGAACACAGAAGGCAGCCCACCCTGTGCCCTTCAGGACCTGTTCCCACCAGGACCCCGAACAAGCACAAGGTCTGGGATCACGCAGTTTGGGGTTTTAATCCCAACCTACCTCTGTATGGCCTTGGATAAGACACTGCCTGTCTCCGAGCCTCAGTCATCCCATCTGGAAAATAGGAGTAGTGACAGGTACTGCCTAGGGTTGCTGTGGGGCTTAAAGAGATGA